TACAAACGTTCTTGTAAGCTAACTACCGGTACCGTATCTAAAAAGTTCAGGCCAAACCATTGACTAAATGGACGTAAAATTGATGGCGTATTAACAACGTGTAAACCGCGATTAAGGTGGCACATTATATAGGCGGTTGGGGTATTACGTGACAGAAGGTAGGGGTCAGTGGGTCAAAACAAGGGTTAGGTCAGCTGGTAGGGGATAGGATGGAGGGATTCATTGGGAGGGTGGACACACGGAGGTTAGAGGGTATTGGTCTGGTGGGGGTATTGTGAAGAGAGGAAGAGGGTATTAGCCAAAAAGGTCGGAGCGGTAGAGGGGTGCGGGAGACAGATAGGTCAGAGGGATCAGTCTAGAGCAGCGGTTCTCAACCTGTGGGTCGCGATCCCTTTAGGGGTCGCGGTACCCTTTTCCAAGGGTCGCCTAAGACCACCTGAAAACACATATCCTTACAGCTATGAAGTAACAACGAAAATAATTGTCTGGCTGGGGGTCGCCATGACACGAGAAACTGTATTAAAGGGTCGCGGCACTAAAAAGGTTTAGAACCACTGGTCTAGGGTGAGAAAGGCGCTGGGGTGGGAAAGGGGTTGTAACCTACGCTACAGGTCTCTCATCCACGTTTTGTCAGGACATTCGCTTGTTGGATACTTTACTTTTCAACGAGATGTGCCAGGCAGTGGCGCGAACCGGTGCGGTCCACACCCCCAGCTACGCCACTGGTGACAGGTGTTGGATGACAATGAACAAAGTGAGCACCACAGACCGCATGGTGCTTCTAAAACTTTACGTCCCATGGGTAATAATTTCGAGAATTGGTTTATCAATTTCGGAACGAAATTCCATTACCGTACCTCGATGTGGAAACAACATGGCGACGTGAAAAAAATTATACTTTGGCGACAGAAGGAAAGTGCATCAATGTTACAGGGTTCAACATTTTCAATGCGCCGTTTCTTAAGTTGTTTTTTTTACACTTTTCTTCCTTGCACTCAATCTTCGCCCGAAAAAAAAAAAAAAAACCCATCTTTTTTTTATCTGCGTGCTTTAGTTTTTATTTCAAATTTTGTTCTTAATTTTGAGCCACAATATTCCCTGATTTTGATTGCATCACCCAGGGTCGGCATGAACAGAAACTGGGACAGAATATAGGATGATATATGCAATTTGGTCGGAGAGGTGTGACCAGCTTTTTAAAATTAAGTCATTACACACTATTCTTTCCCGGGGGAAACAAAGGGGGGTGGGAGTATCTTGTGACCTTCTAAATCTCAAATTGGTCAAGAGCAAAGTACCGAAACACTAGGTTTTCTTCTGAAAGTAGGCCTAGACAAATATTTGTAAAATTCATGAGTGGTTGTTCAAACAGTTTGTACACGGCATGAAAACAACCGTATTCTTCATTTAACCTGGCTCTCATTGTAACACATTGACATTGCACTTAGAAATTCTTTTGACTAAACGCTCCCTGCTACTGAAGCTGTCGAAAATAATAAGTTGAACAGGTATCTAATTTCTTAGAAATCAAGCTTTGTGCTTTTGATTTGAACCATATGATATATATATATATATATATTAGAGAGAGAGAGAGATTTGTAGTTTTGTGTTGCTTTTAAATAATTTAATAATAATATTAAAAAAACACAACTTGATTTATAGGGTAAAGAATATCTCATTTATTAATTTTCCCTAAATGCAAGTTGAAAGCATTTAAAATATCGCGAAATATAAACATCAGATCTGTAAATTATGAGGCAAACATTGACAAGTAAATGAAATCATAAATGAAAAGACAATACGTTTTCAGTATGTTATCACTTGGGCACATACAATCATAACCAGAAAATTTTATTTTCAAAAAATTGGGTGAGTTATGAATTTCTTTTATCTTTTTAATATATTTTAGTGTAAGTACCGGTACATGAGTGGCTGACTAATAAGGAAACATTGCAGTCATTGAAAAGCTGTTTAGTTATTATTTTAACTGAATTTGTCACTGAAAGCTATAAAGGAAGCAAACAAGCCTGGATGTTCTAAGAGTATGGTATATAAATAATTCAAAACAAAAACACACATTGACTTGCAATGCCAACGACAATTTTCCACTTCTTTTGAGTGATGCAATTCTAGAATTTAAATAAGATGCTAACTCTAAAAAAAAACAGAAGATAGAAACTGTTTTTTTTGTGTACACATGCTAAGCAAACTTTATCTACCAGCTAGAAATATAGGCACTTATTAAAAAATAAGATTATGGCAAGGAGAATATTTACAGACCTATACAGATGCTGGAAGTTATTTCCATTGCATTCCGCTTCATAATTTGGTTGACCAATATAAAAAAATAGTTATCACACTGAATACACACGATACAAAACTGGACTATTTTTGGTGCCCCTTTTCTTAGATTAATGTCAGTGGGTGAGAATCTTGTATAAAATAAAGCAATATTTGCTAACACAATTTAATCCATTCTGTTTTAGTTTATTTAGGACCAAAAAGAAAAATGAAACAAAATGGACTGATCAGAGAACAGTTCTAAATTTAAATGTTAAAACAGCTTTATATGCCTTAAGAGAAACAAAGTGGACTGATCAGAGACCAGTTCTAAATTGAAATGTTAAAACAGCTTTATATGCTTTAAGAGAAACAAAGCTGACTGATCAGAGACCAGTTCTAAATTGAAATGTTAAAACAGCTTTATATGCCTTAAGAGAAACAAAATGGACTGATCAGAGACCAGTTCTAAATTGAAATGTTAAAACAGCTTATATGCCTTAAGAGAAACAAAATGCAATGTATACATTTTATTTATTTTTTTAAAATTACAAAGACAAAAAAAAAACAAAAAAAAACGAAAATCTATTTCATTTGAGACTGACAAATTGCCAACAATGATATTCTGAAACCAACACAGATGAATCCCTTACATAAAACCATTTCGGAATAAACACAACTTTAAAACTCAAACTGAAGACTTAGTTAAAAGGAAATAAAAAAAGAAACAAACCTCTTAACCAATAAATGTATTGCCATATTGAAATTCCATATAGTCATAAAAGCAATTTAAAAAACCCCAATAAAAACAGATTCTACAAGATCATGTGTGAAAGGAGATTTCCATTGTATAATAAGCAAGCAAGCTAGCAAGCAGTACAATAATTTATTGAACTTAATTATTTAATCAGCATGTATTATTAAGTAGTGCATCATCTGTGTCTTACTAACACCATGGCAAAGGAGTGGGGAGAAGCTTGACTTTAGGATCAATACCACCTCATCTTTTTAAAGACATGGATCCAATTAGTCTCAACACTTTTTAAGTGTGAGGAAAAAAATCAGTTTTTTTTTTACCTACCACTTCGGTATCGTGTTTTTGGCGTAGCTGGGTTATTTACGTATCTGGAAATTTGTTTGAAAGAAATTTCGTCAATGGAAATTTGATTAACGGAAATTTGGTCCAATTCTTTTTTAGTTCACAGGATCTAATTTTGCGCCAAATTTCCTTTACAACGCATTATTTTGTTTCACTATATAGTATTGTGCATTCAAAAAGAAATTTGACGCAAAATTTGATCGTGTGAACTGAAAAAAGAATTCTACCCAATTTCCTTTCTATCAAATTTCCGTCTATCAATTTTCCGTCTACGAAATTTCTTTCCAGTAACTGGTTATTTATAATACTGATGAGATTTTTAAATTGGTTGCCTTTCTATATACAGAAATAAACATTATTCACAATTGAGAAATGATAAAATTCTAGATATTAATATTATTGTCCTGTCTTTGTATTTGTTCAGCAGCTGTACTATTTTCTTTACATCATAATTGTATGGTACAAATTTTAGGTTAAACTATGCATAATATGCAAAACACATTGAACAGTATTTTTGTTACCAATAGAACATGAATTAGAGCAGAATTCATAGCTGTCAAATAAATGGAAACAAAAAAAAACCACAACAAATTTTAATAACTCCTCTCCTTTTAAATACAAGGGTTACCAGAAATTTGTTTGAAAGAGATTTCGGTGACGGAAAATTGATCGATGGAAGTTTGATCTAATTTTTTTTTTCAGTTCACACTATCTAATTTCGCATTTTTTGTTTTACTATATAGAATAGTGCGTTCAAAAAGAAATTTGATGAAAATTAGATCGTGTGTACTGAAAAAAAAAAATTAGACATAATTTCCGTTCGATCAAACTTCTGTCAATCAATTTTCCGTCAAGGAAATTTCTTATAAACAAATTTCCAGATACAAAAAACAAAAGGACCTAATGCTAAACTGAGTTTATAAAGGACAGCACACAGATATTACTGCTTATTTATATAAACCAACATAAGCACTTATATTTACTAATAGCAGATACAATAACGTTAAAATTTTCAAATCCCAAAAGGTGTACCCAGGACTCTAAAGAGTCAGATAATAGTTGTATTGTCGTACGAGGAGCAGGAAAGCAAAAAATAAAGTATAGCCCATTTTCTCAGATGAATGTTTGTATTACATTACACATATTTATCGTAGTCTTCCTTGACTCCTATGGGTATTTTCTGATAAATTAATTAAACATAAAAAAATATTGTCAAAGTTGGAAAGCTTAAGCTTATAGAATCCAATTCTGTAATATGTTCGCACCTTTTTATTAAATCCATATAATGGATAAAGATGTCTGCACAGTACTGATGACCTGAAAACTTGGTTGCAAGCTGAGCTAATAATTCAAGGCTCATAGTCAGCTAGGCCATATGAATGATCTTTCATGTGTGTAGGAGTTGACCTGAGACTGACAGCCTACAGAAACATTTGTTATGGCCATAACTAACACAAAGAACACAACGGTGAACTAAAGATTTATTACAAAGTTCAGACTTTACGTTTTTTTTCTAAAATGTACAATTTTTTTGTTTGTTTAAGACTTATTTAAGCCTAATTTAAAAACATTCTTTAACTTTTATTTCGACAATGAATGAGACTGAAGATATTCAAAATCAGCCAAATGTTCCCTTAAGATTAATATGATAAAATTTTAGAAGACAACTAGGATCATTTTACTTACATCGAATTAGCTCTAAGAAAAAGAACAGCCTGAAATATATCCTCTTCCATAGATGATCTGAAGTCAGATCTTATTATTTGGAGGGCGGAGAACAAACGCTCCACACTTCCCTGTGTAGTTGGTAAAGCCGTTACATTTAGAGCGGCATTTTGCACAATCAAGGGATATCCTAGTATGGCTTCCTTCACATTTACTTTACTTGAGCTGTCAATTTTTTCCACCTCATTCAAGGCAGTATTAAATTCCAACTTAAATTCACCTTCCGGGTTTAAAGGGTCATGTTTGGCAAGCTCCTGATCGTCTGAGCACCGTTCAACAGCTTGATCACAGTCAATATCGGAAGGTGTGGAGATGGAACCTGTAGGCGCTAGGGTCGGTGTGGGGTTCCCATCTGTCAACCCACTAAATGCCCCCTCAGGATTTAGTGGGTTGTGTTTTCCTCGCCCCGGACCATCTGAACACCTTTCAATGGCATGATCACAATCAACATCAGCAGGTGCGGAGGATCCATCTGCCAACCTATGTGATGCACCTCCATCCTGCGGTAAAAGTTCCATTTGAATCGCAACTTTACATAAAGTATCTTTAGCCACGTTGCTCTGTTCCTCTGTGAGGGTGACCTGGTAGACCGGGTCGACGTAAACGGCCGCCAAAAGAATACCATTGTCCAATAGAAGATGTTCTCTGCAAATCATAGAGTTCATTATGTCATTAGCCGTTGTTCCCCCGATTTGGGATAAACAGAACATCAAGCTCTTCCATTCCTTGTAAAAAATCCCAGGAGTCAGGTCAGCTGACTGCAATGTCTTTGTTACAGCGTACGGGTAGCGCAACAAAGCTTCTAGCTCTTTCACTTCCTCCCACTCAGCGTCTGACAATGTTTCATCTGGTTTCTCTAGCATGTGCTTGAGGTAAGGTTTTAATTCCAAAACACGTTGCATCATGAGGAAGGTACTACCCCAGCATGTTATGCGGTCAGAAATGACACTTTTCCCAGTAAGTTTTTTCAGCAAAGCATCGTACTTTGGTGCTCTCGCTGCCGACACTATATTCCGTAACTTGCCTATTAGACCCGCCGAATGGCTTTTTAGTAAGCCATCAAGAAGCGCGAGGTTAAGCGTGTGAGCGGCACATCGCATATGAGTGATATTCATGAGTCTTGCCGAGGAGGCCACAAGCTCATCTACAGCATCAATGTCATCATCATTCTCAAGAATTTCATCATTGTCAAAGTTCACTTCCATGTCATCTTTGTTCATTTTTTCGATGCTGCTCTTCATGCTGCTGGCATTGTCACCGACAATTGATAAAACATACGTTTTAGCTATGTCAAATTCATCTAAAATACTCATTACGAGCATCTGAATATACTCTGCAGTGAGCTGAGCTTCGGTGTACCTCACCGCCAATGTTCTCATAACAACTTCTTTTCTATCATCTATGAACTGAACGTTTACAGTGAAATAATGAACTTTCTTATGCGTGCAGAGATCTATTTTCACATGAACAAACTGTTGATGGATGAGCTCCTTGAGGGCATCTTTTTTCCTCTTGGCTTCATCCAACAGCATAATTTTAATACTGTTCCTCTCCAGTGAGATACCAAACTTCAGAGCCATGGTTCCATTCAAGGCAACGAAGGCAGCAGAGGAAAACAAGCTTATAGGAATGGCGCACTTGACCACCATATCCATGATGCATCTTTTGAATTTATCCTGTGTCATAGGCACGGTCACTTTATCCTTCACCATGACCTTGTTCTCATGGGGCTGGCTTGAACAGCTTTGGGCCTCGAGCTCAAGTTGTCTCTTGAGCTCTTCGTTCCTGTCAATGAGCATCTGCATTATTCCAGGGTGATGCCGCTGAAGGTGGCGCTTCAGGTTGGAAGCTCTGGTTGAGCTGCGTTTCCCGTCCCCTGCGGCAGTGCTTATCTTCATGCCACATGGTGCGTTGGCGTTCAGCTTTGGAACTTTGCAAATGTTAAATTTTTTATCTTCAGAAATTGTGAAAAATTCATACACTGCAGATTTCCTCTTTTCTTTTTGAGCCATTTTCAGAACCTTAAAAGAAAAACATATAAACAAATATCAATCAAATACAACTTTAAAAAATTTAATAATAAGGAAAAATCATTTGTCTTTTAATTACTAGACATAATAACATTCAGGCTAAAATAAATAGAATGTCTCGTAATGTAAATAGAAAAGAAAATGTACTGGGGTACCCTATAGTGAGATTCAGCCAGTTGCGCTGGAATTTACTTATTTTATTAGTATTGATTTCTTGCTACAAAAATTAGGCTTTATGTTCATGAGAGACGAAGAAATAGTTTCTAAGGATATTTTGAATCTGACTGATAACTCACAGCTCAAAAGCTGTGGAATATTTATTTTCATAATACTTATTTAAACATATGTTTAAATTTGAAAGAATGTGTTGTCATCGGCAGCAAGTCTATGTCCTGAGTTTCAACTCGATGGGATGAGCGAAAGTGGATCAATTAGCTTCCACTTTAAAACAGGAAAAAACTGATTGATGGGGGTTGGGCTAAAAATTTGATATGATGGGTGCACATTGACATTGAGTCTATGTACCAAGTTTTGTCTGGATGCGATGATGGGAAGTGGGTCAAACAGCCTGCCGAAGATTTAGCCCCATTTTGCCATAAAGAAACACACGAACAAAAGCGAAGTTACTATAGAGGGCTTAATAAAGGGTTTAGCCTTGGCGAGTCTAGCAGCACGAGATGTGGGAGATTCTGCACGTCGTCTTTCTTTCTCGGCCTGACGTTTCTTGGCGAGTCGAGCAGCACGGGATGTCGGTGATTCCTGTAGCTTTTTGAGTTGACGTTTTTCTCTCTCCTTTGCAAGTCGGCGCTTTCGCTGTGTTGACGTTTCAATCCTTGTCTTTCCCATGCCTAAAATGCAAATGATTCATGATGAATGAATCGGCGAAGAAATCATAAATTTACATCGAAGATGTAAATATAAGTTTGATTAATGAAACAGTTCAAAGATTAGATTATTTTCCGAATTGGTTCATCACAGACAGTTCACATTTTTAAATTAAGACGCAGTTACTGGTATGTAAATGGGTAAACTTCTGGCGAAACACGTTTCATATTTCCTTCATTTTCCCCTTCAAAAATACATTTTATTGTTTTTTCCGTCAAAACTTGTACATTTACCCCTAAACTGTTTTATGTATTCTTGTGTAGCTTTGCGATGACAACACATTCTATCAAATTTTCAGCCCCATCCCAACTCCCAAAAATCAGTCTTTCCTTTTTTCAAGGGGAAGATGAAGGAAATATGAAGCAAAGATTTCTCAAGAACTGATTTTTGGGGGTTGGGGTGGGGCTGAAAATTTAATAGAATGTGTTGTCATCAGAAATGAGTGTATGTGCCAAGTTGCAGCTCAATAGGATGACGGGAAGTGGTTCAATTAGCTTTCTGAAGATATGTATCTAATGGTAATAAAAAAAAAAATTAAACTTTGTTAAATGTGCAATAATCATTATTCTTAAGGAGAAATTGAAAAATGACTAACACGCTAGACGGCTAGAGGTTATGTCAAGAAAATAAGTTTCATAAACACAGAATTACAGCGATGGAGCCAAACCTGATTACTTGAGTTGATTAAGAGTTAAGTGCAGACAATGGAGAACTTGGCAATGAATGTGTTATCAGAGCATTCAAATTTTGTATCTGCTTTAAATGATTTAGATTGCATACATTTCCTCTTCAGTTCATAAGTCCCTTCTTCAAATTCTTGTCATTTTTCAGCAGTTTGTAAGAGCATTCGTTCGGCTTGCAGTCTTACTTGAGTATCACTTGGCAATTTAATATAAAGCAATCATACATTTATGGTGCATTAGCTGGTTGGCTAAACAAGCAGGTGGAGTGATCTTTCATCTAAAGCTTCTGGGCGAACTTACTTTGAGTTATAATTTTGTTGCTTTTTTCTCCTCTCATTTGTCAATATTTCATGGTCTCTGCAGTCTTTTATGGATCCTGGTGTTAAAGTATTTAAGCTTCCTCTCGTCGAAATTCTCAACAATCTTTCAAATTTGATAGTTTCATCTTATTTAATTTTCTCTTTATCAATAACAATCCTTTTGAAACGAACTCTAAAACTTGGGAAGGGAATCAATTACCTTATAGAATTTCGTAAAATTAGAAAGTTTAATTGATGCAGGCTGTGTAATTAATTTCTGGAGCACTCTATTATTCACTTCCAGGAAAAAAATCAATATTATTGCTTTCATTGGAAAAACATAATCAAATTTTCAGTTCACCATCCTTATAAATGACATTTGAATTAACCTGTTCTCAAGTCCCCAAACTTCAATGTCATGTTTTCTAATCCTGTTCTTCTTCACAAACTTGAAATGAATATTTTTTTAATTGGGAATAATGGGGCTTGAACTCCCTACTTCCGATTTTGAGGTTTATGTCCCTTATGATCTACTCGACTTACTCAACGTATGGGATATTTACCAACAAATAATAATTTTAGGCATCAATAGGCCGGGTACGGTAGATTTTAGTTCTAAAATACAATATTCTGAATACACTTTAATTAGTGTGAAATTAGTCAGAATACCAGAATATTCCCACTACTTACTAGTAATTTAAATAGTAATCAAATTTACTGGAATAGGCCTACTAACAGTAATTATATAGGCCTAGATTCAAGATTCTAATCCAGTGGTTCTTAAACTTTTTCCGGCCACCGCCCCTTAGGGCCATAAAACTGCATATCCGGAAATTTATTTAAAAGAAATCTCGTCAATAGAAAATTGATAGACAGAAACTTGATAGAATCTTTTTTCCAGTTCACACTTTAAAATTTTGCGTCAAATTTCTTTATGAAAGCATTATTTTTTTTTACTATTTAGTACAGTGCGTTCAAAAAGAAATTTGACAAAAATTTGATCGTGTGAACTGAAGAAAAGATTCTATCAAATTTCCGTTCAATTAATTTTCCTTCAAAGGAAATTTCTTTCAAACAAATTTCCGGTAACCCATAAGCTTGCCCTCACCGCCCACTGTTTAACCCAACAATAATCATTTTAAGAATATATTTTTTTACAAACGTCGAGGGAAGAAAATGACACAGGACATGTAATGTTCAAATTTATATGACTACTTTTTGCTTTGGACAAAGCGGTGTTCAAAGCGGGTAAAACTCAGTAAATACAACTTGCATCAAATGCGATGATCAGAATGCAACAAGGAGCATTCCACTGTGGAGAATATGATAATACATGTCATACTGACATTTGGAGAATAGTTTCAACTGGTAATTTGGCGGGGGTAGTAAATAAGTGTAACATTGACATGTGTCTGTCCAATATTGAGTTTCAATAGTTATCATTTTGTTACAAAATTAAGGAACACAGATTTATTTTTATAAGTCAGGTCTCATTCCATTGCAACTGTTATTTTATGTTAACCAATGTCGTGTGCAGTATTAAGGGCACTGAAAGTTTTAGCTACCAGATGTTTGTGATAAATGACACAAAGAACAATTAGACACTGATTATTTTCCCTCACTTAAGGGCAACAACCAACAGTTAAAGCCAGTCATTGATGGTGCTTTATCAATTGCAATAGTATGCTTTTTGGTGGAAATTTTCTAAATTGACAGAACTTCTCTGAAGTACAAAATATACATTTTCCGCTGTCATAAAAACTTTCACATTTGACAAACATATGCTAGCAATAAGCAAACATTCATTTTCTTGAGTGAAAATAAATTCATCCAGCAGAAATGCCATTTCCCTAATTTTTCTATGTTATATAGCTAACCTATGTCTCAGCCTTGTGACTATGAAGGTAGACGCTTACTATAATAGCTGGTATGATGAATATTTGATCAATCAACAATACAATGTTTTATCATATGATGCATGCTAAGCTACCTATTGTTTTTTTTTTTATTTAAAAGCAGAGCAAATCATGCTAGTTAGTCTGTGGTTCATTTGTTAATTCATGTAATATTTAAAACTTAAAGTCCTACTGTTATCAGCTCATAGTGCTTACCTAAATTTAAATGTATTGTTAATAAACGCTGGTACATCTGTTTGAAAAATAGATCAAACCGTCTTTTTCTCTTCTTTGTTATGCAAAAAATATATCTTCCATTGACTCTACTTTGACAGCGGTAATCAAAAGCCCAGTACTTTCTTTGATATATATATTTTTAGGTAAAAGGGCATTTTAGGTACGGAAGTTATTTCTTGATGTTTAACCTAAATAAAACCACAGTTATTTTATCAGAAATGTTTTGACCACAACAATTACGTTTTAAAAA